GATTTGAGGTCTTCCTTTTTTTTTTTTTTTTTTTTTCCCCCCCCCCCTCCCGCCCCAACCCCCTTTCCCCCCCCCCCCCCCCCCCGCTTCGGGAACCTGCCGCTTGCCGGCTACCGAGTGCTGCGGTAAGCGATCTCTTTAAAACCTCTGAACTGTCTATCCGCTAGTAATCCAAAAGGAAAGGAAAGATCAAAACAAAGAAACAAAAACAGAGAAATTCCTTCGGTCGTGCGACTCTATTACTTTTGTCTCCTACGGGCCACGGTTGAGCCTCCGCCTGGCGTCACTGTCGGGGCGGTCGCGGAGCCTCGTGGGTAAAAGGAAGATTCGGTCTGAGCTCGGAAAGATGGCGGAAGCGTTTGGGGATGAGCTGTTCAGCGTGTTCGAAGATGACTCCACCACTGCGGCCGCAACCAAAAAAGACAAAGAAAAGGAGAAGGGAAAATGGAAGGGCTTGCCAGGGTCTGCAGAAAAGGCCGGGTAAGAAAGACGTCCAAGATGTTTTTTTTTTTTCTCTTGGTGCCGAGGGCAGAAAACACGATTCTTAGGAAAAGCACAAAATGTGTGTACTGTGAGTGAAGTCGGAAAGTGAAGGGGTTCTGGAAGAAGAGAGGTAGGATAATACTGATTGGGGGAAACCCGATCTTGGCTTTCCCCCATACCGCCAAGCAGCCTGAGCCTCTGCCACAGCTCTTTCCTTTGGCCCACGGTACTGACTCCCATCTGCGCCGCGGGGCCGTGAGGTTTCCCTTAGGTTCTGGGCAAATGCCCAGTTCCTAGCACGTAATCTTTTATAAACGAAATTGATGACTAGGTGAGGGGCAAAGAAGCTTAGAAGAAACGACGTGGGGGTTAAAGAACAAATAGAAACAAGGGAGAGATTCTAATCTCCACGCTATAGATTTCTCGCCCGTAAAATGGAAATTTGATAGTGTCTACCACTTAGGCTGTCATGAAGATTAAATGAGACAATATGTGTTAATCTCCTAACAAGAGTTTAGTACATAATAAAACCAAATAAATGCAAGCTACGAGGAGTTTATTTAGAATATATTTAAAATTACTAGACCCTAAACGTGTAGAGTAATGCATATAACCACCATAAAGTGTTTATAGCAGAACAACGGAATTCTATTATTTGAATTATGGAAAATAAGGTGGTTCATTATTAATTAACAATATTTATTCTTGTTGTTGCCTGGAAAATACCAAAGAGGTGAATGAATTAGGCATGATTTCATTCTTGAGGAATTTTCTAAGGGGACAGAACACATTTTAAAGAGTTATAACTTTGCATTAGTCAGCAATGGACATAAAATGAACGGTATGTACAGTTAAGTGCTATATAAGTTTGAGATATCTGTGATGTTTAGGGGAGCTTAGATAACAGGATATTCTGGATTGAGGAAATAGTAAATTAAATTAGTGTTTCCTAAGTTGGGGATGGGATAAGTAAAAGTATAGTTCAGGAAAATTACTTGATTAGTGATTGGCAAAGTATATTTTAAGAGTATAGACACTGAAAGCATGAAAGTAGGTTGGAAAGTATTTTCATTTGTCTAGTTTTGAGATGAAAAGAACCTCAGGAAGTAGGAGAAGGAAGGAAAAGATATGAACATTTTGTCAAGGACAAAATTAAGGAGAACAACAGAAGGGGGGTCAGAAGAGACGGGTTTTTAAAATGTGTATGTCAGGGAGAGAAAAATAGGTAAATTCAGAAGTTTTGAGACAAAGTGAAGCAATGGTAATACATCCTTATGGAAATGTACATTGGGTAATTTTAATGAGGGTTGTAAGAGAGACAGACCTGTAGTACTGGCAGTCTCTTATCTCAATAATGTTATTTGAATTGGTGCTGGTTGAGGTGGAGATCCCTATGGGAAAGTATAATGACACAGCAGAGAACTTCAAGAGAAATACTTAAGACCAAAGAGAGATTAGAGGGATGGCAGAAAAACCTGGAGTGTGAAAAATAGTTTTCACCTCTCATTGAGTTGAAGGAAGTGGAAAAGTTTGGGGGAGCTTAAGTATTTTTCAATAGTTACTTTTTAAGTGAGCAACTACAGTATTACAAAAATAATATATGTATGATTTCCAACTTTATACTTTACTTCACAGATACTAATTATTCTACTTTCCAGTGCAGTAGGGTTAAGTTTAGTAGTCTGAAATATAGAAGAAAGTTAATTTATATTTTAATTTTATTAGGAAATATGTGAACATTAGAGAAGGGAAATATATAAGAAAATACAGAGCATTAGTAACTTCAGGTACTTTTTTTTCTTTTTTTTACTACCAGGACTTTAAGTTAGGCTTTCTCATCTAGGCATTTTAGGAAAGAATCCAGTTTGCCTGGGATCATAATCATTGTGTATAATGTGAAATTCTATCTGGTCTCTAAAGCAGTAGGGCATATTCTGAAACTGTAGTGAAAATTTGAAGATCCCAGGTTCAAAGACAGCCTCAGCAAAAGTGAGATGCTAAGCAGCTTAGTGAGACCCTGTCTCTAAATAAAATACAAAATGGGGCTGGGAATGTGGCTCAGTGGTTGAGTGCCCCTGAGTTTAATCCCCAGTATTCCCTCCCAAAATAATAACTGTCCTTATGTATTTAATACTTTAGGCCAAATGCTTTTCAAACTAGGAGATTCTCAAACCATATATATATACATATGTAAAAGGAATGTCATGTACCTACAATTTTGTTTCAGCAATATCAAGTAATGGTAAATCTATTTCCACCCATACTAGGAGATTGTCAAACTATATACATATACTTATGTTACATAAAAGGAACGTCATGTACCTATACCTTTGTTTCAGCAATATCAAGTAATGGTAAATCTATTTCCACGCATACCCTCTTTTAAATCAAATACTACCTATCATGTTATTTCTCTCTCTTTCAGTATTCATTTCATCCCACCCCCTCTAAACAAAAACAAAACTAATAGTAATTCTTTGATAGTGTCTACTCAGTTCATAGTGAGATTTCTTTTATTGTCTTTAAGGGGTTTTTTTGGTAGGCGGTTTGTTTGAATCAGGAACCAGACAAAGCCGGTACACTGTTTTAGTTGTTACTCCTTAAGTCTTTTCTCCATCAATCTCCCTCTTGTTTCTTTATGTCATACATTTCTTTTTTCTTTAAGAAAGAGACAGACTGAGAGGGAGAGAGAGAGGTTTTTTTAAATTTTTTTTTTTTTAGTTTTCGGCAGACACAACATCTTTATTTGTATGTGGTGCTGAGGATGGAACCCAGCGACACATGCATGCCAGGCGAGCGCGCTACCGCTTGAGCCACATCCCCAGCCCCTATCATACATTTCTTTTTGGAAGGACGAGTAAGAGAAGAAACCAGGCCACTTGTTCTGGAGAGTCTCCCACATTCTAGATTGCTTTATTAGACAGTCATTTAACTTGTTTCTCCTTCCTAAGTATTTACTTTAGTTTTAACTTATATCTAGTTCCACCATTGTCCAATAGTCACTATTCACATGAAGCATTTAAAATATGGCTTGTCAGAACTGAGATGTACAAAAAGTATAACATTAGATTTTGAAGACTTAATATGAAAATAGAAGGTAAAATACCCCATTAATTTTTTAAACATTTTATTAGTTATTGATGGACCTTTATTTATTTGTTTTTTTATATGTAGTGCTGAGAATCGAACCCAGTGCCTCACATGCCAGGCAAGCACTCTACCACTGAGCTACAATCCCAGTCCCCATTAATTTTTATCTTGGTTATAATTAACATATTTTGCATAAAGTGGGTTAAGTAAAACAAATTAAAATTTATATTACCTGTTGTTTTAAATCTGTTAAAGTGATTACAAAATTTTGAATTTATACGTAGCTTACATTATATATATGCAAATTCATTTGGCAGTGGTAATCTGGAGACTTGATTAGATTCAGGTTCTTTTGTTTTAGATAAGAATAATTTATAGTGGCATGATGTATTTCTGTTGCCCTACATCATAAGATGCAGATTATCTGTTCCATTCCAAGATTAATCAGTAGGTTATAATGTTAACCAAGATCCCTCATCAGCCTTTCATATAATTGCTTTAGCATCTGCTAATGGTTGCCTAAACCCATTCTTTCATTAGTAGTTGCAAAGTAGAGATTTTTCTATTTTTATCATTTCTTTTTGCTTGAGTTACCTGTAATGTCTCTTAAAAAAATTCCCATATTAGCTCTTTATCTTGAATCATAGTTTGTAAAGAAAAGGCAGAATTAATGCTTGATTCTGTTCAGTTTTTAGAGAAATGAATTCCTTGAGAACGTCCTTTCTTTTGTGTGGTTGCCCACCTGCCTGCCTTTCTTCCTTCTACCTGCCTTCCTCCCTTCCTTATATACTTGAAGTACACTAAACCATTACCACAATCAAGATTGAAATATTTCCATTACCTCCTGAAGTTTCTTGATTTTCCATTGAAATGCATACCCTTTCCTGCAGGCAACCACACAGATCTGTTCCTATAGAACAGCTTGCATTTTCTAGAATTTTACTTGAATTGAATATTATTTAATCTGTTCTGTGGACATATCGTTTATCTATTATGGACATTCATTCAAGTTGTTTTTATTATTATTTCTGATACATAGATGTCCAATCACAGATCAGTGAGAACCCTGCATGTTGGTTCTTACATCAAAAACTCCATCAGTTTTAATTACTTGTGCTTTTTCTTTTTCTTTTTTTTTTTTGAGGGGGAGATACCAAGGGCACTTAACCACTGAGCCACATTATATTCTTAGATAACCCTTTTTATTTTTATACAGGGTTTTGCTTAGTTGCTTAGGCCTTCACTAAGTTGCTGAGGCTGGCTTTGAACTTCTGAACCTCCTGCCTCAGCTTCCCAAATTGCTGGGATTAAAGGGTGCTTTCTGCAAAAGATTGTCTGAATTGCCTAAACATTTTCTGCCCCAGACTGGGATTGAGATAGAGATTTAGGATAGAGGGAGAGAAATACTGAATCTTAAAGGAAACACCCACAGGCCATTGAGATGTAGAAAGCATAGGTATAAATTTCTAGCAACAAGCTGCTGACCCCTGCCCTTGTAAAATGAGGGAAGTAGACAAGTGCAGGGGACATTGGTACAAAATTGTTCAGCTCCACCCTGGATCCACCTCCGAGTCAGGCCCCTGATACAACTCTTCTATAAATATTGTACATCCAGCCCAAGTCAAAGCTGCTTCTCACTCTGGAGATGACCTTCATTTTCCCTTGAATGTGTATCAGCCTTCCTAAATAGAGTATGATGAACTTGGATTTTTGTTTATCCAATATATGAGAAATTATATTTCAATTACTGTTAATTTATAATTTTCTTAATATGAATAAAGCAAAGCATCACTTCTTATGTTCAGAAGCTACTTGATTTTCTTTTTTGTGAGTTGGTCATTTTTTTTTCATATTTTAGAAAATGGATAGTTAGTCTTTTTCTTCTTAATTGTAGAAGCCCTTTTATATTATGGATATTGTTTCTCTAATCTAAATTACATGTATTTTTCCCCTTTTTTGACATTTAAAAATATTTTAATGAGCTACATGCCCAGCCCTGGTTTTACATTTTGCATGTGTATCTCACCATTTTAGTCCAGTGCCTTTTATGGTGTTGAACAGGTTGTCCAGGTATTCTAAAACAATTCCTTTACAAGTATTGTAGGTATTTACAAATGAACAAAAATAATACATGCATTCTATTATGACATATAGCCAAACTTAACACATTAGGAATTAATTTTAACTTGCTTTTGTATAGTTCTCCAAATAAAACTTTCTTGAGTGCTGGAATTATAAGCATGTACCACCGTGACTGGCCACCATCCTGTTTTAAGCCTAGTCAAAAAGTAGGTGTTTCTCTTTGGCATGTGTTATTCTCCAGGCATGATAACAACAATTGGTTGTACTAAACAATCAGTGCTCAATTTTTATTACAGATATATCTAAATGTCATTCAGATAGTGTAAGTACTTTTAAAAACGTCTTTTGTTTGTTTTTGGTACCAGGGATTGAACTTGGGGAGCTTGCCACTGAGCCACATCCTCAGCCCTTCTTTTTATATTTTATTTAGAGACAGGATCTCTCTGAGTTGCTTAGGGCCTCACTAAGTTTTTGAGGCTGGCAGAATGTCTTATTTTTTTATATAATTCTAGACTTTACAGAAAAGCTGTAAGAATGGTATTAAAATCGTTATACATTTCACCTAAATATCCCAAATATTAATATTTTTACCACATTTGCTTTCTTCCCACACATATATGTACATATGTATATATGTGTGTGTGTGTATATATATATATATGTTTGTATGTTTATATTTTTCTTTGAACTATTTAGAATAAGGAACTATTTAGATTAAGATGCAGACATGTTGCTTATTTACCTCTAAATTCTTGGTACTTCAGTGTTTGTTATCTGAAAATAAGAGCATTCTTTTATATAACCACAGTACAGATTGCAGTGATCAGAATTAGGAAATTAACATTGACATAGTATTATAATCTACAGATTTATTCAGATTTTGACAGTTACTTTAATGTCCTTTGTAAGAAAGGGATTCTATGTTGGAGTACATAATTTGGTAGTCATGTCTTTTTAGTTTCGTGTAGCCTGGACCAATTGTTTGACTTTCATGAGCTTGCAGTCTTTGAAAGATTACAGGCTGATTTTTTTTTCCAAAATTTTTTTTAGTTGTCAGTGGACTTTAATTTATTTATATGTTGAGAATTGAATCTAGTGCCTCACACATGCTAGGCAAGCGCTCTACCACTGAGCCACAACCCCAGCCCAGATTACAGGCTAGTTCTTTTGTAGATTATGAGTTACAGTCTGATTGGTTATAATTCTTTTTGGTCAAATTTATTGTTTGATAAATTTTTTTAAAAAACTTATGTGACCATTTCTTTTACTCTGAGTTTAAAAGTACTTTAAAATAAACCTAAGAAAATATGAAATAAAAAAGGAATAGTGTTCAATTTTACTAGTTATAGAGTATTCTGAGCTTTGATTTGCACCATTCATCTGTTTAAGTAATGATGTTTTTCTTCTTAACGGTGTATACAATACATGGAGCAGTAGTTTTTAGTATTCCCCTTAAAGTAAGAACTGATATATTTCCATTCAGGAAACGTTTTGATGCCAAATTGCAATCAGAGTCAACTAATAGTGGAAAAAATAAGAGAGATGTGGATTTTGAAGGCACGGATGAAACCATTTTTGGAAAGAAGCCCAGGATAGAAGAGTCAGTAACTGAAGACTTAAGGTAATATTTCCACAATAGTAAATGTTAGTAACTCTTAATTTGGTATGAAGTTTTTAAAATTGTTTATATATTGGGTTTTTTAAAAATATTATTTTAGTTGTAGATCGATACAGTATCTTTATTTATTTATTTTTATGTGGTGCTGAGGATCGAACCCAGGGCCTCATGCATGCCCATATATGTTGGCCAAATATATTTTATAATATACTTTTTGCTGAGTTAGGAAAATGAACATGATATTCTTTATATACTATGCAAACATGTAAATATAGCACATTTATGTAAGTTTGGAGAATTGGAAGACAATATAGAAATGATTCATTTTTTGATACTTTAGAGCCAGTTTTGGGAGAAGAATCTTGAAACTTATGTCTCAAGGTGATCACTGAAGAGTAAAATAGGAGAGAAGAATAAAACTGACCCAGTGGAAGGAATAAGTGGGAAGGACCATTAGAAGAAATTAGATATTTATTGTCGCATGTAGCAGTAGAGTGGTTATGAATCCTAAGACTCTTGTCAGTGAACAAGACCCATGGGTATATATGGCTGAATATTCCTTGGTATTTGAATTTCTCAGATTTTGAAAGCTATAACTTTCTACAATGATACCAGTGTTTTTGGTTGACCTGATTTCAGTTGTGGTGATGATCTTTGCAATTTTTTTTCTTTATGTATTATATTCTAGTTAGGCACTACCATGAAGAGCTTATTCTTTCTGAGATTTTTTTTTGACCAGTGAACTAGTAAAATTATCTGCTACAAATGATGGTAGATGTTTCACTTAAATATGTAATATGTACCATTTACCCAAGCCAGTGCATAATATTACCCAAAATTAGTGTGTAATATTGGTAGTTTAAAAATCTTCGTTACTGGGCTGGGGTTGTGGCTCAGTGGTAGAGCGCTCACCCAGCATGTGCAATGTCCTGGCTTCAATTCTCAGCACCACATAAAAATAGATAAATAAAATAAAGATATTGTGTCCAACTACAACTAAAAAAAATAAAATAAAATTGTAATTATTGGGTTCTATCCAGATACATGGATAAGTATGATTATTGACTCTAGCACAGAAATATATATAGTTTTCTTGAATTTTTCGAGTCATGTCATCAATAAACATAATGCAACATTTTGATGAGAAGGAACATTTCTGTAAATTATAGCAACATCTAAATTAGACTACTTTATCTTTTGTGTTCTGTAATGATTTTTATAACCAGCTTCATGTTTTGAAGGAATGACAGTACTTTGAAGAGGTATTTTCTGTTCAAAATAGTCATTGGAACTAAACTGACATAATTCTTTCAATATAATCTTCTTGGTGGTCTATTTGTTCTGTGTTTATAATAAATTCCTGGAACATGTTGAATTCTCAGTATGCATTTGAGTAATGTGACAGATTTTCAGAGTATTAGTAGTACAACTTTTTCCAATATGAAATATTGATAATTGGGTAGTATCATTTTCTTTAACAATACAGATAGGGGGCTTATTTATAGAAAAACAATTTTTGTCATTTTAACAATTTTTTTTTTCTTTAAGTTTGGCAGACCTGATGCCCAGAGTTAAGGTACAATCAGTTGAAACTGTTGAAGGATGTACACATGAGGTAAGCACAAAAGACATGTACTGCATTAGTAACCTAAGTGGGATTTTTCTTTATACTCTGTGGTCTGATGATCAGCAAGTAATTTAACCCTGAAGGCCTTGGAAACAATAAATGGTTTTTGTGGCAATTCATAGTCAAGAGAAAGAACGTGGGAGCTTTGTAATAAAGTCTTGGTTCAGACGCTAGCCCAACATTTTTTCTAGCTACAGTCTTTAGTAAATTTTTTAACCTCTTTGAACATTGTCTTTTGAATTTGTAAAATTGGAATGATTGGTTTTACCTTCTGGAGTGTTGGTAAATATCATATAAGAAAATTCAGTGGAGTACTCAGCACAGAGTAGATGTTTAGTATCTGTTTATTCTTATACTCCTAAAGTCAACTAATGGTGATATTTTTGCAGGTCACTTGATATTTCATGTCTTGCTCCAATGACTGATACATTGCAGTTTCTCTGTTCTGCCACAAGATGGTGATCTTTGATGGCTTTTAGTATCCATTTAGAAGGGAGGATTTATATTTCTAAGTCAGGACTTTGACACTATTTCTTTTTATTTCAAATATAGCAAGTTATTACTGGTAATTAGAGAATATTTTTCTTAAATATATATTTTTATTTATTTATACGCGATGCTGAGAAACAAATTCAGTGCTTCACACATGCTAGGCATGCGTTATACCTCTAGCCACAATCCTAGCCCCCTGGAGAATCTTAAAGTATCTATTGAATGAGCAGAGAAATTCTAAATTAATAAAAAATGGTTTTTATATGGAGTTAGAACTTTATTTGTTAAAATAGCTGTTTTACTAGAACGTTAGGTTCTTAAATATCTATCCCTTAGATAATATTTAGTTTTTCAGATGTAATGCCAATTTGATCATTCATTTCACTCTTAATTTTAGACTCTATTCTATCTGGGCTTATGAAAGTCAGGGAAGAGGAAAGGAAAAAATGTCTATATGTCTATATCTCCTGCATTGAAAAGCTCAAAAGTTTCCCTGTGCTCTGTGATTATCTTTAATTCTGCCATTCTATCTATCATCCCCTCTTACTTTCTGAGCAGGTAACTTCATCAGTTACTTTATGTAGAGGCTTGAGTTGGTAAGTATTATAACCTCTTATCACCAAGCCTGTCTGTCTCTGTCATTATCTACCAAAAGAAAAATACATTACCACTTCAGGCTAACTATGATTGTTCTGCCAGTATTCTTGACTATATCTTATCCTGTCTTCAAAGAGACTTTCTCAGTTTTGTTTTCCCTTGTTTGTGGAGTTTCCTTTTCTGTATTTGCCATTTCCTATCAGCATCTGAACATTCAAAAACTTCTCTTTTGTTGAAAATTATTTTTCATCCACTATATGTACTGTATTGTTTTCCTCCCTGGTTATAGTTATTCATTCAACAATATCTTTTGAGTGCCAGGTACATTTTACTGCATACTGAGTATGAAGAGATAAAAGAGATACAGTCCCTTCTTAGAATTGCTATTGAGTTGTCTGCTTCAGGAAACCCTGTTAGATTTCTTAACCTTTCATTTATCTTTCAATCCACTACAATTAGATTTTTCCCTATTTCTTTGAAACTGCTTTGGTAAAAATCACTAGTGACTAATTACTAAGTATTTAATTCTTGATCATTCTACTAATGTTCCACTTTTCTGACTCCTTAGTCTCTATGTGCTTCTTTTTCTACCTCTGTTATTTTGTTATTATTCAGATTGTTTTTAGAGAATAAAAACACAACTCTGATTCTTATAGAAGTAAAAACATAATTTTGTTTTTGGTGCTAAATCTCAGGAATGTTAAATTCTTAATTGCTTACTGTTGATATTCGTTATTCATATCTTAGAAAGTACCAGGAGAGATGTGGTAGAAGTCAATTTACTTAGCCAGATACGGCTTACCAGTTTGAGCATACCTTGGTGGGGATCACACCATGATTTGAGGCCTAACTTTCATACTCAGCTCTAGAAAATTGATTTTGTTATAGTAGCAAAGGTTGGGTACTCTAGGATAGACTCAGATTCATCATACATACAAGATGTGGTGGGGATGGGGGGCTATACCAAAGAATCTTGTTTCTTTTTTTTTCCTAGTTGTCGATGAACCTTTATTTTATTTATTTACATGTGGTGCTGAGAATTGAACCCAGTGCCTCACACAGTGCTAGACAAGGGCTCTACCACTGAGCTACAACCCCAGCCCAGAAGTTTTCACACTGTTAAACTATCAAGGAATCAAAGTTAGTAACTTGGTCTTGGAATCATAATAAAGAGAAATATATAATCTTAAAGGAAAAACTGATGAGAACACTTCATATCCCTCATGTTTGTTTACTTGTGAGTTGTTTAAAATATCTCTTAGGTTAATTTTTATAAATTGTGCTGTATAAACTACCAAATTCTGACTTCTGGTTTTACTTTATAGATTTCATTTTGAACATCACATTTCTTCTGACACATCATTCATACTTGGTATTATTCATTGTTTCATATTTTCTTAATTATTCGATCTTTAGTCATTCCTTACTGAAACTCTACTCACGTTATCTATAGAATAAATAAGAACTAATCTTATTCAATATTTGTTAATGGAAGTTTTGACATTTAGAAATGATTCCTAATTTCTGTATGTACCTTACTTTAACCTGTGGCTTTTTACACTAATTGTTTACTTTCCTAGTGTATGGTTAGGAATGTGTAAACATTGGTGATATTAATCTTTTTAAGTCTTGAGAGTTTGGGTACATTATGAACTCCAGATCTTAATCTTTACTGGAAGGAAATTAATTTCCTGTTCCAAGCAATCAGAGGTATCATTTTATTCCCTAGACTTTTCTTTCCTGTGGTGACATCCCATTTTCTATTCTTCAACCTTTTTGAGTATTTTTAATGTCAATCAATATATTAGGAATGGAAAATGTAAATAATAAATACAGTTTCTTCATAAATACAGTTTCTTCAGGGAGATAACCTTACAAGTTTCAGTTACATTACTGTTAGACCAAAATTAGTAGAGGTATTTTTAAATGTTGTAGTTTGACCTTTTTGCTTTGTTAGGCAGGGTAGTTAATTTTATGTCTAAGACTATTGGAAACGTGCTAGTTGATCACTCTGATTTTTTTCAAACCATCGTTGATTTTTGAAGTGCTGAATATCAGTAAGTTTTTTTTGTTTTTTAATTTTGACGCCAGGTTGCACTTCCTGCAGATGAGGATTATTTACCACTTAAACCTCGAGTCGGAAAAGCAGCAAAGGTATGGACTTTGGATAACACAGTTTATAAAGTTTGAGAGACTTTTTCCTTAGAAATCTTTAAAAAAATTGTTTTTTACTTCCGTGTGTGTGTGTGTGTGTGTATCAGAAAGATGACAGCTAAAGAATATAGTGGGAACTATATTAATATATAATCATGCTGGAAACTAAGAATTATGCGATAGATTTTACAACATTGGAATAGTGATTGTTAACCTTGTTAAAGAATCTAATGAAAGTTGTCAACCTTTCTTTAGAAAAAAATGCACATTTGTAAGTGGTGCTGTAGTTTTAGAGGTTCTGGAAAAACAGACTGATTTTATTAGATGAATTTTGAAGTCCTGATAGACCTTAAATGATTAACAAATTTTTTTTTTTAAACATTTAATTGTTAGTTGTAGGTGGACACAATACCCTTAATTTAGTTTTTATGTGATGTTGAGAAACGAATCCAGTGCCTCACGCATGCTAGGCGAGCGCTTTTCCTCTGAGCCACAACCCCAACCCCTGATTAACAGATTTTTGAGGTAGTTTTTTCCAGGTAATTTTCTGAAATAAAAAAAGGAAGTATGTAGGAGTAAGCTTGGAATTCTTAAAGCCTCATAGTTATTTTATTCTGCTTTTGCTGAATAAACTGAAGTAAAAGACTACATTTTTCAGAGCCTTAGAGTACCTTTCTCTGAAATAATACATACCTGTTTTAGGGGTTGTAAAGATTAATTATGATATATGGAAAATGTGGTGCACAGTGCCTATCACACAGCATGTTTCTTGTAAATACTAATGATTGTTTTATTATTATTTAAATATGATGTAATAATTAAAAGATTAAATGGAAGAGTAATTTATGCCATTTGGGAAAAAAAGTGTTTTTACTCTTCCTAATGTTTTCTTGTAGGTGGTATATTTCCTAATTAAAATCATAAAGAAATGCTCCCAGAATGCTTTTGGCGGCAGTCTTTCTCTTGATGATACCTAGGTTTTTTCATGCAGATATTAATGTTTTGTTTTTATAGGAGTACCCGTTTATTCTTGATGCTTTCCAAAGAGAAGCCATTCAGTGTGTTGATAACAATCAGTCTGTTTTAGTATCTGCACATACATCAGCAGGGAAAACTGTATGTGCTGAGTAAGTAACTTTCTTTTTAAATAAAATCCTGAAATCACTAGAAAGGGATAAGAGAAGGCATCCTTGCCTTGTTCCAAGTAGTAGGGAAAATACATTCCATTTTTCATTATTAAAAAGAACATTACCATAGGTTTTTCATAGATACCCCAGTCAGTTTGGGGAAGATCCCTTCTGTTGTTCCTAGTTTGCAGAATTTGTGTATGTATATGTGTGTGCACACACATGTATGCATATAAAAATATTTCTGTACTAGATTTTATCTGATGTTTTTTTGGGGTCATGTATTGAAAAGATATGTTTTTGTTTTGATTTTTGTCCTGCTATTGTGACGAAATATGTTGATTGGCTTTCAAATGATGAATAATTCTAAGAAAAGCAGCATTTGGTCATGATGGTCTTTATTACCATGTTGTTGGATTTGGTTAGTTTAGTTTTTGTTAATTTTTATATCTGTTCCTGAAGAGTATTGCTTTTTAGTTTTATTATAATGTCTTTTTCTGGTGTTAGTAACAGGGTGATGTTTACTTTTATATTTTTCTTTGATTGATCTGACTAGAAGTCTGTTGATTCATATTAATCTAAAATTTCAGCTTTTGATTTCATTGATTTTCCTCTATTCTATTTTCCTTTTTATTGACTTTCTCTTTGATCTTATTCTTCCTTTCATTAATTTTGGGCTTTAGTTACTCTTTTAATAGTTTCTTTAGGATAAAAAGTTGAGGTAATTAATTTGAGATATCTTTTTCCTAACATATGCATAATTTAATGAGGTAAACTTCATCTAACATTGTTTTAGCTGTATCCCACAATCTTTTTTATGTTTTATTTGATATATTTGTAAAATGTTTTTAAAATCTTGATAAATTATGTTTGATCCAAGTTCTGTGTGGTGTCATTTTCCTTCTGCATGAAGAAATTCTTTAAATATTTAATATTTAAGTTCTTTAAATATTAGTGTAAGTCTACTAATGAGAAATTATGTTAACTTGTATACATCTAAAATAGTCTTTCTCATTTTTGAAAAGATATTTTTCCTTAGTTAGAATACTAATATTTTTAAGATCACCTTTTTGACTTGCACAGTTTGTGACCAAAAAAATTCTCTGACATCCTTTGTTTCTCTGTATATGTCTTTTTTTTTTCTGGGTCTGCTTTAAATATTTTATCTTTATCACTGGTTTTAAACATTTTTGCTTATGATACACCCACCCTAGTGTAGTTTTCATGGATTTCGGGTTTGTTTTTTGCAGTGTTCCCATGGTTGTCCTTCTAGGACTCTACTTACTTTATGACAGTTATCTCAACTTACTGATTCTATGTTCATTTTTTTTTTAATGTTTTATTTTGGGGTCATTTCTAATATAGCATCTCAAATTCATTATCCTCTGAATTGTTAAATCTGCCATTAATCTCATTTAGATGCCTTATTTTAAAATTTCAGATATTGTGGTTTTCTTTGCTAGAAGTCCAACTTATTTATTTTTTGTTCCTTATCATAATACCATAAAGTACAATCCTGAATGTCATAGTCTTTCAGGAGTATTGAAATCCTGGAAGATATAAATCCCTAAAGTCCTGAAGATCAGTCCCAAAAAATAAAAATCCCAAAAGTTGAAAATTTGACAAAATCCTGAAAACCACAGTTTCCAATGGGGAAAAAATGTCTACATGAAAGTTGTAGAAGGATGAATTCTTGGAAGGAATTAGTGTGTTTTCTGTTGTTAGCACAATTCTGTATGTTTTTAAAATGAGGGTGTTTCTAGTGGAGATGAGTATGTGAATCTCAAGTGGGTGAGGAAGATCTGCTTTATAGAGAATGAATATGAACATATTCTTTAAGAAGAGATGTGCCTAAAAGAGGAAAAGTAGCTGTGATAGCCACATGATGCTTGGAAATAAAATTAACAGTCATGAAAGTTGGCCAACTCTTAAGACTACACTGGTACAGTTGCCCAAAATCTGTCCCTATAGGCAGTTTTTTATATGTTGAATTTTTTTTTCTTTTTCTTAGCATTTTTTTTCACTTTTTTGTGTTTCTTGCCATTAGACCCAGGCAAATGATCATACTGGGCAAGTGCTCTGCCATTGAATTATATATACTTCAGCCTTTTTTCCCACTATTTTCCAGCATTAAAAAAAAAAAAAAAAGTTATGCTCTATGTTTCATCTTTGCTTCACTTCTAATATTGGAGAATAAATTAAATAAAGTGAACTCTAATTTATGTTTTGCGTTTTTTGAAAATTTAATTATTTGAAAGTGCATTACTACAACATTGATTCGTATTTAAGCACTGTCCCTGAACAGAAAAACATTGAAACTTTATCAGTAAATAAAAGAGACATCTTTTTGTACATCTGCCTTTGTGAAAGTTAAAGTTTCTTGAGATCTTGATTCTTTGGGCAAGCTGCCCATGGAGTGGCAACCTATCAATTTTTGATAGGTCTCCTTAAAAAGATGGGTTGTTTATTACATTATTTCAAATGATTGAAATTTAAAAGCTGAGTACACACAATTACTAACCATAGTGATATACATTTTACTTTTTGACCTATTATGGTTCATCTGCTCATAATTGTTATACCCATGCATCTATCAATATATCTGAGTGTTTATGCTCACAAAAATAATATGTTAATATAGCCTGCTATATTATGTAAAGTGGCCTATTAAGTGTTGTTCTGTGTTTTATATATTTCTCAGATTTCCTTACAAATGTACATAAACATCTTCTAAAGAATTTGAAATTTTTTCTTTTACCTTTTTGAGATTTTGAGTTTGGGGCATTTTGATTTTGGGAGATTTCAGCATTAAGAATTACAGTGTTCAGGTTTGTATCTTTCAGGATTATGACTCAAACCTGTATTTTTAATATATCCCATGTATCTTAACATTCCTTTAGTTTTTTGAAAATATGGAATACAATTAGAAAACTTTTTAAATGTTCTGGTTATTACCGCTTTTGTCTGTGTTATTTTCTGATCTGTTTTGATATATTAGACTTTTTCTTTCATTATGTAAAAGTATATTCCTGCTTCTTTACGTACTGCTTTGATTGGTTGTTTGGCTATTTTTAGTTTTTAATCGCTTGACCATGTTGTGACTTTACATGATATTTTTCTGTTTCTCGTGCTTGAGTTTGTTGGCCTCTTAGATTTGTGGGTTTGTTATGGTTTTCATCAAATTTGGGAAATTTTAAAATATTTTCCCATCACTCTAGTCTTTTGAGGATTTCAATCATAGTTGGCCACTTTAAGTTGTTCCAGAATCCACTGATATTTTACTTGCTATTATTTTTTGGTGTTTATTTTGATTCATTTTGGTAGTTTCTATTGCCATGGCTTCAAGTTTATTCATAACTCTTCTGCAGTATCAAATCTGCCCTTCTCCTATGTTTTTCATCGGAGACACTGCATTTTTCATCTTTAAAGTTTGACTTAGGTCTTTCAGTGTTTTCTAGGTTTCTACTTAACATGTTATTTTCTTGAGCATGTAGAATATAGTTATGTAATGTTTAACATCCTTATTTATTAATTTGGTCGTTGGTCTTATGTTTCATTCCTGTACATACTTGAGATATATGTTCTGTGTTATAAATTACTTGGGAAAATGTCTTCCTATTGAGGCTTACTTTTATGATTATTTTAGGCAGGATCAGAGCAGCATTTAGCCTAATGGTGGGCATATGTTTCTCATTACTCAGTACTCTTCTTGCTATTCCACCCAGTGTCTTGTGAATCATAAAGTTTTCCAAGGTGGTTGGTAGAAATCCAAATTGCTCCCAGTTCTGAGTGAGATTTGATCATTTTTATCTTTGCTTCTTTGGGTTGGTTTTTGTCTGGTCTCAAATAGTTGCCTAAGATTTTACTGGTCAGTACTGTCTGAATACTTATAAAGGCTCAGCAGATATTCAGCACCCTCTCTCTGCAACTTTGTCCTCTCTGGTATTCTGCTCTGCAAACTCTTAATTGCCTTGGCATCCCCAGACTTACATGTTGATCCATTCAATTTAGGAAAACCTCTAGGTTCTGCCTGGGCTCCCCATCATGGAATTGTCTTATAGTTGTTTCAATTGGGTGGGTAAAGGTAATCCCCATTACTCTGTCTTAACAATAATTGGATGTTTTCTGTATTTTTAAAAAAATATTTTTTAGTTGTAGTTGACGCATACCTTTATTTTATTTTATTTATTTTTTAATTTTATTTGTATGTGGTGCTGAGGATCGAACCCAGTGCCATGCTCGTGCCAGGTGAGCGCGCTACCGCTTGAGCCACATCCCCAGCTCCCTTTAAGTACTATATTATATTAAATATTATATTATAAAATATTAATTTTTTGTCACTTTAAAGATTATAATTTGCATTTTTAATGTCATCACCAAGTGATATATGTGTATTAAAGTTAGAAAGGAACTGGGCCAAGCTAAAAAAAGTAGATTGTGTTCTTAGAAGAATAGCATTACCTTAGATTATTAGAGGGAAGTGAAAGGAGAGGAAGGCAGGGGATGGGGATAAGAAAGAGAGAATGAAACAGACATTATTTATGTATGTATGTGACTGTATGACCAATGTAATTCTACAATAAATTATATATTTCAATCATTCCTTGGTATTGGTGGGGAATTGGTTCCTGTTTCCCCCTTGAATACCAAAATCTATGGATGCTCAAGTCACTTATATTTAAAATGGCACATTATATACATGTAATCTACATACATCCTCTCATATATTTAAGTCATTTCTAGATTACTTATAATTACCTAATACAACGTAAATGCCAAGTAAGTAGCTGTTATCCTGTATTGTTTAGGGAATAATGATAAAGTCAGGTTTAATACAAAGTTTTTTCCCTATCTTCTGTCTGAGGTGTGTTAAATTGTAGATGCAGAACCTATGAATATGGAGAGCCAACTGTTTTTCAGTAGTGCACGTATCTAATGTAGGAACAAACACACCTTTGTTGAATATGTTTAAACTTTTATTTAATTAATATTTTAAAAAA